CGATGGGGGGCGACTCAGGACCGCGCCCCCACGCTGGCATAGTAAACCCAGCAGCGCTTGCAGAAGCCCACCTCACTCAGTGCCTCTTAAATCCAGTCAGACACAGAGTATCAAAATGTCTCTTTATTGAATCACCCAGGAGTTCCCGACATCCCAGCCACCTCCACAGCTCCTCTCAGCCACCTCTGCCAGCCAGTCATCAGCCTGTCCCCGTTGGCTTTTTTCCAGGGGCCCCAAGAGGAGCTGGGGCCCACCTGCAGTGACTGCCTGGGTGGCCCTCACGGAGCATGGGCGCAACTTGTGAAGAATTCCCAGGTCTGGGGCGAGAGCAGGCATTCTCTGGGTGAGCAGTGTGTTAGAGGTGCCCCAGCACACGCTGCCATCCTCATTTTGGGGGCCAATATCTTGGACCTCCTGGAGGAAGAAGACAGAAGGGCCCTGCTGCTTCCCACTGTGCCCCAGCCCTGTCCCTCCTGCCAGGCTGCCCACTTCCCTGGGCCCTTCTCTCTTCTAGCTCACCCTGTATCTTCGTTTCCACATCCCAGCGTCCTATTATTTTTAGATTCTGATTTTTACTGCAGGTATCATTCCCCATCCTTTACTAGGCCCAGCTACATTCTTCACACACCACCACCCTGCACTCCACATATACAGACCCCCAGATGTGTCCTGTCCAACCAAGGTTCACTCATTGTCAGGTGTGGCTGCCCACCCCACCCCACCTACTCTGTCACCCCATCTCTTCCCTTTTCACTTACTCTTCTAGCCTCCTGCTAGAGAGTTATCTCCTTAGCATCTTCTAAGCTTTTTCACAGCTCCTCCCAAACCCTTCTGGTTCTTTCTCTGCATCCTGCAGTACCTTCTCACTCATTACTCTGGTCTTTCCAAGGGCTCTCCTTGTTTTAGCCCTTTCTCATCCACCCCCTACAGTGACTTCTCCTCCCCTAACTTCCAGGCAATTGGTCTCCTCTCCCTGCCATCCTGTGGGCTTCCTTACCATCTTTGGAGACAAGAACTGCTGCTAGATTTGTGGCTGGTCCGGTGGCTGTTCTGGTGGCTGTTCCGTTTCCAAGTCCTGGTAAGCCTCAGTCTCCAGCTCCTCCTTCATCCTGTGACGGATCTCCTCGGCCTCCGCACGATCCTCATCCTCATAGAACTCCTTGTCCAGACGTTCAAGGTGTGCTATCTGCACCAGGGCCTCCTGGCGGTAGTCATTTTCATCTGCACACGGGTTGTCCAGCAGCACCAAGGCTCGCAGCTTGGGCAGTTCCTGAAGCTTGGCCAGCTCTCCCAGGTCAGCCACCATATTGCTCCTGCCAGTGAGGTCAGGAGGGGTCATCAGGAAATACTGAGCTTTGGAAACCAGCTGGCAAGAATGGCGCCTTAGGGGAAAGTCCTCCTGGGCCCAGAGTTCCCTGGAATCACTGCCTGCGTTTGGCAGCGGATTGGCCTGCCACACATTGCCAGATGGGCTCCTGTGGTCCTGCCCCTGCCCCTCAACAAATCCCTAAGTCCCACAAGCTAGGCTGGAAGGTATGGCCTTTATCCTTCTGGAGAAGCAAAGCTACATCCCAACCCTGCTTTGCAGAGGGTGGAGGAGAGATCACCCTTGCAGGGAGCGACTGTGTGTCAACCACACTTCATCAGAAGTTAGAATTTAGGACTCAGGCCAGTGAGCAGGAACTGGGACCTAAGCTCTGGGAGGTGGGTGAGGGTGGGTGCTCCCCACTGGAGGAAACCAACAACTGGGGATGGCTTGGGCCTCTCCCTGGGGCCTCTCCCTGAAGAGAAAGCTTCGTTTCTTCATTTGCCTTATGGTACTATACTGTGTTTATTTTCATATTCTTGCCTCAACCCTTTATGAAGTCCAGTTTAAACATTTCAGACTTCTCTCAGTGGAGGTGCTGAACCACATATGGTGTTTCTCACCGGAAGCCACATGAACTTTATGCAGGGTGGGTGCTCCCCACTGGAGGAAACCAACAACTGGGGATGGCTTGGGCCTCTCCCTGGGGCCTCTCCCTGAAGAGAAAGCTTCGTTTCTTCATTTGCCTTATGGTACTATACTGTGTTTATTTTCATATTCTTGCCTCAACCCTTTATGAAGTCCAGTTTAAACATTTCAGACTTCTCTCAGTGGAGGTGCTGAACCACATATGGTGTTTCTCACTGGAAGCCACATGAACTTTATGCTGGACTGTCCTATGCACTGCCGATGTTGGCATCTGTGATCCCAGAGGCATCTCCCAACCACCATGACCCCTCCTCTTAATTAGTCACCTCCAGTTAAGGGCCACTGAGGAAGTAGCATTGTTTCCCTCTAGACGGTTATAGGAAAATAGTACTCCCTCTCTAGCAGACCAATTTGACAGAACTAGTTAGCAAAAGATTGCCTCAGGAGTCAGGGGCAGGAATTGAGAAGTCAAGGTGCAATTACCTGTTCCTACTTGGGGATTCTTTTCATTATTAGTCTTGAGGGTTTGGTCCTGGGGACTGGACTAAGAAGGCAGTTTCCTTACATCTTGGCTTATAGCAACACACATAAAACCTTCCATCAGATCAGAACTGCTAAAAGAAAATTCCACCCAGTACCTTGCCTCTAGAGGCTTTTCTTTCAAATATTCTTCTCTTTTGAAAATTGAACATCTTGCATAGTATGGGGGACACTCATATAGGTAGGGTTCAGAAGAGAAGCAGGAAATGGGGCCCAGGCCATGGAGAAGGGCATGAACTACACAGAATAGGGCCTACAAAAGTGTGCTGGACCCAGACAATGAGTCCCTTGGGCCACAGAGGCATTGCTGATTTAGTGGAGAGTGTAGGGGCCATCTTTGCTTCCTTTTGATATTTCCAAAACACAGCACAAGGCCTGGCACCTAGCACCTTCCTCATATAACAGTGGGGCAAGTGACTAAGGTTCAGGGGCTCATGACACAAGCTATGAAACCTCTTATCGACTGACATATTCCGGATGGAGACGGAAATGCTCTGAAAAATAAGACAGACTTTCCACGCTAACTTATGTTATGACCTCCCTTTTTTGTATAATCGTAATATCAAAATATTCTGAGCAACCTTCAGTTTACAACTGGATTGCCTCAGCCTCAGAAGGTGCTACCTGGCCCGGACAAGCAAGTACTACACCAGGGTGAGAAACTCCTCTTGAAGTCAAAAGTCATTAATAAAAACAAATGGCCGTTACTGCAAAGTCTCTCTCACTGTCAGACAGAGGAAAACCCAAATCTTATCACTCTATCTCACATAGCCTTCTATTCAGTTTCTAAATAACCACTCAAACTTCCTACTATCTAGTCTTTAGATATGGAAATTCACCCAAGTCGCCTATTCAGAGCTAATCAAGTTTTCTACCATCTAGACTTCAAGAAAACTCACTTAAACTTTCTAACAAGTTTTTCAAAGAACCTTACCTTAATTTGATTTACAAGAAATTTCCTCTTCCTGCCTTCACTTTACCCCCTAGGCTGTCTCTATGAGAATGAAAGCCATTAAGTAATAGATAATGTTTAAGGGACTTTATTTTAGTTAATCTTCACTGTGGTAAATATAGTAATATTAGTCTTAAACTTTGTAAATCTATGTACCTGTTTTAACCTTGATAGATTGATTTTAAAAATGTTATAATCTCAACTAAAGGTCAAAACGACCCCAGACTATTCTTAGCAAAAAGGTAAATGTGATCTCAGCCCATTTCATATGCTAATGTCATCCCTCTGCCTGCCTGAAGTGTATAAAATAAACCTCTGCTAAAGGCAGAGCAGGAAGACTTGCACCCAACTCCCATTGCCGTGTCTTCCTCACGCTCGCTCCCCTTTTTCCCCTTTTCCCCTTTTTCTAGGAATCTCCGCTCCCAATGCCGTTCCCACCCTGCCTGTTCTGCCCCCCAATAATCCGTGATCGAGGACGAAGAGTCTCCGACAGGCTCAGGTATAAAGGTGATGCTACAGTTAGGCCTAAGGGGCAGTCAAGAGTGGGAATTAGGAGGGAGGATGCGGTGAGAAGCCAGGGGTGGGCTAGGATTGGGAGACGGGCCAGAAGACAGGGTCAGAGCTGCTCCTGGTCAGGGTGGGGGCAAAATGGGGCTTCGAGGGGTGTGTACCTCAGGTTGAGGTACTGTAGTGATTTCATTTCCTTGGAGAAGCCACTCAGAGTTTCAATCTGGTTGTCTCGAAGATGCAGGGTTGTGAGATTGCTTAGGTTCTCCAAGCCTTCCACCTTCTTCAGCTGATTCTGGGCCTAAACCCCAGGGTAGAGTAGAGAGATAGGAAGATGACAGTGGGGAAAGGGAAAGAAGAAAAGTCAGAAAGAGGCAGCAAGAAAGGAAATCCCAGCGGTAGAAGGGGATGTAGCGGGCATCAAGGTGGATAGACAGATGTAGAGTAAGGAAGTCAGGGAAGCTGCCATCCCAGAGCAGGGGTCCCAGCGAGCCCACTAGGGCCCCAATTGAGGTGATGCTTCAACCCGGGCCCAGGAGCCCCCTCTGCTCCACTGAGGAGCACCACCCTGCAATGAAGACGCTCAAGCCTCTGAAGGCTAACCTTTCACGTGGCCTCCTCAGCCACCTGGCGCTCCACACTGCTCCCCATGGCAAAGCAGTCGCCTCTCACCCACACGTTAGGTCTTACCAGCCCTGCCAGGCTGTGAGTACCCTGCCTGTTTTAAGTTTGCCTCCCCGCAGTAGCTGGCACTGAGCAAGAGTTCAATAACTGACATCAATTATCATGATGATGATGAAGTTAGTTGCCAAGTCTATTAGAAGCCCCCCAGGGCTGTGCCCTCTTTCCTGCGCCACCTCTGACCCAGTGGGCTACCAAGAAGAGGCTCTTCAGCTTAGGTAGGTTGATTCCCAGGGTACTGCTCAGCTGATTCCCCCGAAGCTCCAGCGTGTGCAGGCTCCTCAGCTTTTGCGGATCCAAACCCGTCACTAGGTGGATTCGGTTTCCTGAGGAGCAGAAAGGTGTTGAGAGTGCAGAAGATCATTCTGGGTGTTCATCATTAGAGACTAAATGTTGGGAGTTTCTGCATCATCCTCTCCCTATAATGCCGGGTAGACCTGAGGGAGGACAGCACCAGACCTAAAACCCCCGAGCCAGAGAGCTTTCAGGCTGGTGTCCAAGAGCCTGGTGTCCGGCTAAGCCTTTGAGGACTTCAAGTCTTTGCTCAGCGATCAGCTTATCAGAACTTGTCCTCACCAACCTGTTTGAAATTACCACCTGTGCCCGCCTCATTCCCTTCACCCTGTCGCTTTTCCACTGTGTATCTCCTTATAACATACAACATACATTCATTTACTGTGTTCATTGTTAGCTATCTGTCTCCCTCACCTAGAACGGAAGCTCCACGAGAAAAGGGATTTTCTGTTTTGTTCTCTTTTGGTCACTGAGGTTTCTCCAGCACATAGAATTGTCATAAGGAGTCTAAACAAATGAATGACTACATGGGGATTGCTGTGTGGGACAGCCAAAGACCACACTGTCCACTTCTGTTAGCCCCAGGCTAACATGACAGAAGCTTGTATCGCTCCTCCGAAGGCCCCACCTTTGAGATCCAGGCTGCACAGACGAGGATGAGTGATGCCCTCAGTGTCAGTGATGTGGTTGAAGGCGAAGCTGGCGATCTGCAGGTAGGGCAGCTCGTTGAGCCGCGCGCTCCGGAGCTGGTTGCCATCAGCTTTGAGCCAGAGTAGGTGAGTGAGGTGATTGAGAGGGGACAAGTCTGTCAGGTGGTTCTCAGAAACGTCTACATAGCGCAGATGGATGTAGGTACATAGCAAGGAGATGTCCGTCAGGTCCCTAGGAGATGGCAGCAGCCAGGGTTCGAGTTAAAAACCCCAGCAAGGTGGGCCTCCCTGCTAGCTCAGGGTTTAAAATCTCAGAGTAATCGAGCTATTGGGCTATTGCTCAGCACTATCAAGCTGTCTGCCAGCCACTGCAGCTTGAGTGGCACCACAGCCTGACCCACCTGGCCCAGCAGACCTCTCCTGTTTGCCTGTTCTGCTCCTCACTCTGTCTCTGGTGAATCCTCTTACCCCCCCCCCCCCACCGTACCTTTAGCTGACACACCAGTTCTTGTCAGCAAAAATAAAAATAAATCTTTAAAAAAAAAAAACTCTGGCCGTCCCTGGTGGTGCAGTGGATTGAAGTGCAGCACTCTGAAGCTCTCTGAAGCCATTGTAACATGAGTTTGATTCCAACCAGGGAAGTGACACACATGGTGAGGCAGACCTCTCCTGACCCTCCCCCTGCCCCCCTCAGTAGTGTACTTTGTCAGTCTGCCTGTTCTGCTCCCCACAATGTCTCTGGTGAATCCTCTTAGCCCGTGCACCTCTGGCCTGTACCCTAGTTCGTGTATGCATAAATAAATCTTAAAAAAGAAAAAGCCAGACTCCACCAAGGGCTGGCAGAGGTACTCAATCACAGAGCCATGTGGGGGTGGCTTATAATGGGGAGAACAGTGGGTAACAGAAGGGAGAGGTGGAGAGGGGAAGAGAAGGCACTTAGGTTCAGAAAAGTGGGTAGGGACCTTGTGTCAATGTCAGTGAAGAGCTGGGCAACAACACTCTGAAAGAGGAGGGAGGGTTCTTGGCAGGAACCCCACTATTCACCCTCACAAAGCTCCTAAAAAGTGAGTTCTAACCTTCCTTGCCCTACTAATCCAGGATCAGAGCCCAGGAATGAGAGTAAGAAGGGTGACTGGACCCTACAATCTCACACTTCTCGTCTGGTTCCCCAGGAACGCACCTGTCTTTAACCTCCAGCTTGACAAAAGCATGAGCCAGTCCATTGCCTGTCTTACAGAGCAAAGAAAGTCCTTCCTTCATCATTTCTTCCCTGAGGGGGTTGGGCAGCCACTGCAGGAGGAAGTGGAGTCAGCACCGGTCTAGTTTAGCCCTTTCCCTTAGCCTTAACACCCCTCCCTTTCCAGGTGCTCACTTCCTCAGAGAGCTCTTCCCCGTCTTTCCTGAATTCCTCCCACTCCTCTGTATCCCTGTCATCTTCTTTTTCAAGATCATCCTCATCTGGCTCAAAGTCTTCTTCCAGATCCTCGTCATCTGACATCTTTCTTCTCTGCTGAAGACTCTGGAGTCGACACACTCAGTCCTTTTCCTGAGAAAGAAGGTCTCCTCATCATGGACCAGCTCTCAGCTCTGTCAGTTCCTGGTATCCCTCCCATCACACCATCGCCTTTGCCTTCTTCCCAACTACACACTTTTCTCACCCCTGTTAACAACTGTTTCATTGTGATTTCCAGCCTCCACTTTATACTTGCTGCCCAGGATCTGCCTCGCCCATCAAAGGAGCCCTGCATAGTGACCCCCCAGCTCTCCTCTAGCAGCTGGGTCTCCCTGCTTCCTGGGCTCCCTTCTCCCCAGTTCTTCCCATCTCCTCTTCCAATCTCCCCTCTTGATCCCTCAGCTCTCCTCCCTTGCTATCCTTAACTCCTCTTCCTCGCATGCCTTCTAACTCTTCCACCCCTCTGAGCCCCATTTCCCTGCCTCCTCTGGGACACCAGCCTGACGGGCGACGCAGCCTTCAGCCATCGCACCCAGTCTTTGGCAAAGGGGAGCAGACCCTTGTTCGGCTCAACCAGAAGCGCTTCTGAAGAGGGTCTTGGTCCTAAGAGGGAAGGACTGTTTTGAAAGAGGGGCAAGCGTTGTGTACTGCTGTTATGGCAACGTGGGTGGAGGTGGGGGAGCACCTGGCAGTCACAAATAAGTGGCCGTTGTTGAGAGACTTGCCACCCCAAACTCAACGGTAATCCACACCACGTTAGGTGGACCTGCAGTTGCTAGGTTACGAGGCCAATTTCCTAATCCCCGGAAGCCGGAGGAAGCGCGCTGATTGGCTGAGGGCAGAGCATAGTGGGCGGGATTTAGAATTTGAGAGGGGAGGGAGGGATCCTGGGGATAGCCATTACATCACCTGAGACCTTAAAGGGACCCGACAGCCTCAATGCAAAATTCCAAAGAAATATCCCCTGAAGCAAAAGGGGGAAGGTAGAGTAAGAATACCAAGTCAGTGGTTGATTACCTCTTTCCCCTCCCATTAGTTATTTCCAGGCTGTTTGTAGATACCCTGGGTTAGAGTCTTGACATATCTGCATTTTTCTAGGAATTTCCCAAAGACTCCATTTTCTCATCTGTAAAACAGGCTTAAATATACAACCGACAAAGATGTGGTTGTAATCTATGCTAAAGTGTCCTACAGATTGCTAACTCAGTTTGGGAGCACTTCACGCTTCATATCGTGCATTGTTTTACTTAAACCTTTTGGGAAATTGTATGGGGGAGGGTATCAATCACGTGCTCACTTAAAGTTCTTATCATCCAGGAGCCTCCATGGTGGCACAGCACTGCAAGCCAGCAGCAGCCACTTCAGTTCAGTTCTAACACATGGCCTGGCAGACCTTTCCTGCCTTAAGGAAGGCTGCTCCCCTCAGCAGTATACTTGGTAGATCTGCCTGTTCTGCTCCCAACTCTCTCTGGTGAGTCCTCTCACTGCCCCTGCCCCTCTGGCCTGTTCCCCACTTCTGTGTGCATAAATAAACACATCTTAAAAAAAAAAAATCTCAGCGCTATCAAGCCATCGTTATGCTAAGCCAGCCACTGCCTGAGCTCCAGCTAGAGGTCCTGCTGGCTGCTCCCCTCAGCAGTGTATTTCAGTCAGTCTGCCTCATCTTTCCCCACTCTGTCTCTAGTGAATCCTCTGGACCTCCCCCTCCCCTACCTCTGGCCTGTACCCCAGTTCTTGTGTACATAAGTAAATAAATCTTTTAAAAAAACAAACAGTAAGTAATAAAGCACTCCGGAAGGATTAGAAGTGCTGTACAAGTGAAAGGTATTGTTTTGTTACAATTGGGAGAGAGAAAGGAGGTGACTTTCCTTGATCTAAAAGAGAAAGGCTACATACATACATAAATAAATCTTTAAAAAAATAATAAAAGAGGAAGAAACTTCAAGCAAGAAGAAAAAACATGATATAAAAATTAGGGAGGTGTCATATAGCATTCTTTCATTAAACACTTGTTCTGTGCCATGCTGTATGCCCTGGGCACTCAAGGACAGTAAAGCACAATCCCTGTCCATGAAGAGACTTCCAGGCCAGTGACAGGGTTAGGTAAACAAGCAATTCGATATAAGAGATATTATAATGAGACAGATATTTTAATAACCTTACCCAACACTTACAAAGCTTCTATTAAGTGCCAGAGGATAATTTTATAATACGTGTATATACATAACACATAATGTGATATACTCGGCAGAGTTTCAGACAGAGGAAGCATCTGTGATGAAGCTTGGAGGAGAAAGCATTGAATGTCCCCACAGGAAAGCAGGTGGTTCTGCTGGCTGGAACAATAGGTACATTTGGGGGGTAAGAAGGGAGGGGGTAAAAAGGGAGCAGAAAGGAGAGCTGGATCACACTAAAGAATCTGGACTTTACCCTTAAAGCTGTGTGGAGCTGCTGGAAAATTTATCTTGTGTTTTCTTGACAAGGACTGACTCTGCACCATGTAATGAGAGCTAGATACTCATGTCCTCCTCAATAATGTCCCTCCCCACTGCAGCTGGTCTAGAGGGGCCTCTCCTATTATTAAAGTAATGTTATAGAATAACAAATAATGGGGCCCTCCCTGGTGGCGCAGCAGGTTAAAGCACAGCACTGAGAAGCTAAAGCCACTTCCGCATGAGTTTGATCCCTGCCTGCCCCAGAGGAGATCCACATGGCGTGGCAGACCTCTCCTGCCCGCTGCTCCCCTCAGCAGTGTACTTCGACAATCTGCCTGTTCTGCTCCCTACTCTGTCTCTGGTGAAGCCTCTCGCTGCCCCTGAGCCTCTGGCCTGTACCCCAGTTCTGTATGCACAAATAAATAAATCTTAAAAAAAAAAAAAAACAAATAATGGAAAGAAGTAGGTCTAGAAGAAAATAAAAGTCCATGATCTCCTGCAGCAGCATTGTTCTAGTTTATTAATAAAGATATGTATTTCAAAAAATTAAAACGTACTAATCATATACACAGGTTCATCAAGTGGATTTTCATATGGTAATATGGCTTTCATTTTACTCAGAAAGATCTCTCTTTTTGATATTGCCTATGCTCCATTATATGGATATGTGGTAATTTCTTAACTGTCTCCTACTGGTGAATATTAACTTGAAAATTTCTGAACACATAAACAATGCTGCAATTAAATACTCACAGGTAAGTCTTTTTTCTCTTCTGCGAGAGTACTCTGTAGCAGTACTGCCCAAATTTTACTATGCATAGAATTTGCATGAAGATCTCATTAAAATGTAGATTCTGATCCCTCAAGTGAGGCTGCAACTTTCCTCTGGTCCATGGACCATATCAGTAACTCACTGGGGCCCTCCCTGGTGGCACAAGGGGTTAAAGCGCAGCACTGCAAAGCTAGCTGCACCTGCTTCAGCACAGGTTCCATCCCTGGCCAGGGAGGTGACCCACATGGCACAGCAAACCTCCCCTGTCTCGCCACTGCTTCCCTCAGCAGTGTACTTTGTCGAGATCTGTTTGTTCTGCTCCCCACTCTCTCTCCTAAAGCCTCTCACTGCCTGTACCCTCGTTCTTATATGCATAAATCTTTAAAAAAGATTTATTTATGCATACAGAATTGGGGTGTAGGCCAGAGGTGTGGGGGGTGGTGGTGGTGAGAGGATTCACCAGAGACAGAGTGGGGAACAGAACAGGAGAGGTCTGCTGTGCCATGTGGGTTACCTCCATGGCCAGGGATCCAACTTATGCTGCAGTGGCTGGTGATCACTTCACAGCACTCAGGCTTTAACCAAGTCATTAGAATTTATTTCTTGTTTTATAGGAGCTCTTTATGGTTTATATATTACCTATGACAGAAACTGCCTATCGCCCCTCTAATTATGTATCTAATATTTTTCTTCCCTTCTTCTCCCCTCCCCATACCTTGCCTAAAACAGAATCAGCAATTGCATGGGACGATGAGATACCTCAAGAATCTAAGCCACATGCCAAGATGCCAGAACAAAAATAATGAAAATAATGACATAATAAAAGTGTCATAAAGCTGCTGTCCCAACCCTGTACCTATCTCCAGGCTTACTTTATAAGAGAGAAAAAATTGGTTAAGCTACTGAGTTTTGAGAATCTTTGTTGCAGCCAAACCAAATGCGATTCTTAACTGATCATAACAAATTATCTCAAAGCATAACTGAAAACAACAAACATATATTATCTCAGTTTCTGTGAGTCAGGAGTACCAGTGTGGCTTAGCTGGGTTGCAGTCAAAATGACAACTGGGCCGGAGGATTTGCCTCCAAGATGACTCACTGACATGGTTGTTGGCAAGACAGTTCCTGGCCATATGGGTTTCTCCATAGGCTGCCTGGGTATCCTCACAGTACGGCAGCTGACTTCCCCAGAGCAAGTGATCCAAGAGAGAAAGAGACCTAGCTGGAGGTGACTTAGTGTCCAGAGTGGTACACTCTCTCTTCCACTTTATTTTATTTTTTAGGAGCCAGTCATGAAGGCCAGACAAGATCAAACGGAGGGTAATTCAGTTCTACCTCTTGAAAGGAGGAGGATAATTTAAAACTGCAGATACATTCACTTTTTTTTTTTTAAAGATTTATTTATTTATGCATACAGAACTGGGGTACAGGCCAGAGATGCGGAGGGTGAGAGAGTTCACCAGAGACAGAGTGGGGAGCAGAACAGGCAGATCGACGAAGTACACTGCTGAGGGGAGCAGCAGGCGGGTCAGGAGAGGTCTGCCACACCATGTGGTCACCTCCGGGGCAGGCGGGAATCGAACTCATGTGGAAGCGGCTTTAGATTCTCAGTGCTGTGCTTTAACCCGCTGCGCCACCAGGGAGGGCCACATTCACTTTTTTTTTTTTTTTTAAGACTTATTTATGCCGGTCCTCCCTGATGGCACAAGTTATAGTGCAGCACTATTAAGCTATCTGCAGCCATTGGAGCATGAATTTGATCCCAGCCAGGGAACTGGCCCACATGGCACAGCAGGCCTCTACTGACCCACCCGCGGCTCCCCTCAGCTGTGTATTTCAGTCAATCTGTCTGTTCTGTTCCCCACTCTGCCTCTGGTGAATCCTCTCAGCCCCACACCTCTGACCTGTACCCCAGTTCTAGTATGCATAAAAAAAGAATTTACTTATGCATACAAAAAGTGGGGTATAGGCCAGGGTGGTGGCAGTGATGAGAGGATTCACTAGAGACAGAGTGAGGAGCAGAACAGGCAGACTGACTGAAAATACAATGCTGAAGGGAACAGTGGCCAACACAGGAGAGGTCTGCTGCCTTGTGGGTCAGCTCCCTGGCCAGGGATTGAACTTGAGCTTCAGTGGCTGACTATAGCTTGATAGTGCAGTCATCAATCCCTGTACCACCAGGGAGGCCCTACATTCACTTTTCTCTTCACCTTATTTATTGAGTGCCACCTTACATAAATTTGATATCTGTGTGTAATCCAAGTTGTCAGTCTATTCCAAAAAGCTTCTGAATTGTGTCAGCCTATGAAGGTTATGGAAACAGTCTCTTGCACATTTTTTTTTTCTTGTGCATTCTTAGGGTACTTAAATAGCTTTTTTTAGTCTTTAATTCACTTGGGAATTTTGTGTATAGTGTAAGATAGAGATTAACATTTAGCCACAAGGGAAGCTGATTATCTCAATATCATTTATTGTTTATTCATACTTCCATACTGATTTGAAAAGCCATCTTTAGCACTCACAGATATATAGAAACAAGTACACACACAAACATATATATATATATATATATATATAATTTCTGGATTATTATCTTCCATTGATCTATATTTCTGGTTATTTCTGTTCTAGTACCATACTTTCATAACTATTGGTATATAT